TACATACTATTACATCTGAATATTTGAAAAATTACCTCCTAAAAATAATTCATGAATTTTAAATTTCAAACAAACATATCAGTTTCAAAATACTCATTTAGTGAGAAAACTGTTAACAAATACTGAATTGAAGGTACAGATATATAGATGCTTTTTTGCTATTTTAACTTTTCTATATGTCTGGAAAAATAATAAGGTGGCATGCAGCTAAAATACTGCTTATAGATAAATCTGCAGCATAAACAAATTAGAAAAGGAAGGGTTAAGCCAATAATCTAAACTTAGCCTTATTAAACAAGAAAATGAGCATATCAAACCCAAAGCAAAGCAAATAGATAATAAACACAAGAGCAGAAAGCAATGAAATTGAAAATAAAAAAGAGAAAAATCAATGAAACGATGTGTTGGTTTCTTTCTTTTTTTTTTTTTTAGTTTGACAGACAGAGATCACAAGCAGGCAGGGAGGCAGGCAAAGAGAGAAGGAGGGGAAGCAGGCTCCCCACTGAGCAGAGAGCCCAATGCGGGGCTTGATCCCAGGACCCTGGGATCATGACCTGAGCCAAAACAGAGGCTTTAAACCACTGAGCCACCCAGGTGCCCTGAAAGTGTTGGTTTCTAAGAAGACAAAATTAATAAACCTCTAATTGTAATTATTAGGAATAAAAGAAGAAACTAATGATATCAGGAATACAGAGCATCACACATCACATTCCACATACATCCAAAGGGTAATAAGGAAGGATTACAAGCAATAATTTAGAAAACTTCAATGAACTAGTAAAAGTCTTTGAAAGACAAACTACCAAAGCTTACCCAAGAAGAAAGAAATGGAATAATCTAAGAAAAAAAGTTGAATTTGTAGTTAAAATCTTCACACCAGGAAAATTCTAGACCCAGATGACTTCCTTGGTGAATTCTACCAAACATTTAAAGAGGAATAATGCCAATTTTACATAAACCACTTGAACAGGATGGAATACTTTTCCATTTTTTCTCTGAGGTTTGCATTACCCTGATACCCACACCGGAAAAAGTCATTAAGAAAAACTAAATATCAATATCTTGTAAACGCATTCAACAAGCCTTACACTCAGTTTGAATCCAACAATATATAAAAAGGACAATGTATCATGACTATGTGAGGTTTATCTAAGAACGCAAGGTATTAACGTACTAAAAAACAAATCCATTTGAACATCTTAAAGGATGCAGAAAACACTGTAAAAAATATTAACAATAGTATTAAAAAAAAACTCTCAAAATGTAGAAATGGAAGGGAACTTCCTCAACCTGATTAATGGCATCACTGAAACATGCCATTAAGATATTAAGGTGGACTGAATGCTTCCTAAGACTATAAACAAGGCAGAAATCAATTCTACACTACTGGAGGTGGTAACCAAGAAAAAAAATGAAAGGAAGCCAGACTGGAAAAGAAGTGAAACTGCCTTTATTTGCAAACTATATGATCATCAATATAGGAAATGTTAAAAAAATCTCCAAAAACTACCAGACTAATAAGTATGGGTAGCAAAGTCAAAGATATAAGGTCAGTACCCAGAAATCAACTGTATTTCTATATTCTAACAATGAACACTCATAAACTAAAATTTTAAAAATGCCATTGACAATAGTATCAAAATATATGAAATAGTAATAAATTTAAGAAAAGATTTGCTAGATTTGCACACTAAAAACTATATAGCACTGATAAAATTATAAAAGACCTAGATCAATGGGGTATTCTACTCATGGATCAGAAGACTCAATACTGTTAAGATGTGAATTTACCACAAAATGATCTGCAGATTCATCATGTAATCCTAATCAAAGTCTCAGGAAACATTTTTATAAGAACAACAACCTAATTCTGAAATATTTATGGAAAAGCAAAAGGCCTAGAATAAGCAAAATTATTTTGATAAATGAAATAACATAGAAGAATTTACAATTTTGTGATTACAAACCTAGAGATGCAAAACAAACAAAGAAACAAAACAAGAGAAAAAGAAAACTCTAGAAATAGTCTTACAGATATAATCAATGATTTTCCTAAAAGATTGCCAGAGCAGTCAATGGGTAAAGCATAATCTTTTAGATCTATATTCCAAGAAATAACCTTGACCCTTATATATCATACAATAAACAAAAATTAACTTCAAATGAACTTGGTAAAACTTCTGGAATAAAATATAGGGGGAGATACTTCTGGCCTTGGGTTAAATAAAGATTTCTTTGGTCAAAAAAAAAAAAAAGAAAAAAAGAAAAGAAAAAAGAAAAATTGGTAAGTTTGACTCTATCAGAGTTAACTTTTATCATTTGGAAGGCCATGTTAAGGAAATGAAAAGGCAAGCCACAGACAAAAGAAATATATTTGCAAAACATACATCTGAGAAGGGACTGTGAATCTAGAATGTATAAAGATCTTTTAAGACTCAGTAATAAGAGAACAAGCAATAAAATAAAAAGAAAAAGCCATTAATTTTGACAAACACGTGACCAAAGAAGATATGTAGATACCTAATGTGCCTGTGAAAACATGAGTCATCACTGGTCCTTAAGCCAGTGAACACAATGAAAATCCACTACACGTTCATAAGAATGGCTAAAATGAAAACAACGGACAATATCATGGATAGATAGGATGCAGAGCAGCTGGGGTTATGAAAGGCTGTTAATAGGATGCAGAATGGTACATCCATCTTGGAAAGCAATTGAACAGTTATTTACAAAGTTAAATACATACTCATCAAATGATCAGGCAATTCCACTCATATTTTACCTGCGAATGAACACATACATCTACAAAAGACTTCTATGCAAACAACTGCAGTAGCTTTACTTGTAATAACCCAAAGCTGTAACAACCCAGTGGTCTCCCATCTGGGGAATAGATAAACAAACTGTTGTATACTCTATACAATGGAATACTAATCAGCAATAAAAAGCCTTTTTTTTTTTTAACCACTTTTTTTACCACTGATATACGCAACAACATGGATGAATCTTACAATAATTATGCTGATACAAAAGAACACAGCCTATGTGATAGGAGTTTTACAAAAATTTAGGAAAAGTTAACTTACACTGACAGACAATTGATCATTACTTGCCAGGAGCTGAGAGCTGGGAGTAGTAGGTGATTACAAAAGTACATGTGGGAAATTTCGGGGGTGATGGAAATTTTCTATATCTTCATTGTGGTGATGGGGAAAAGGATAAAAATGATTTCAAAACTCATAGAATTTTCTGCCTGTAATTGGTGAATTTTACTGTATATAAATTGTATCTCAAAAAAGCTGACCAAAATAGATACATAATGAAAAGAGGTGCACGGTCTTCTTGGAGTAGTGTAATTTGTAGAAGTAAACGGAGTGAATCAGTTCTAAATACACCCTCTGCTTATGTTCTGTTTGGCCACACATGAATGAAGACCTCCTCTGTGGTCACTGTCGTGCTGCATATTTCCTCAGAAATAGTAGGGAGGCCAGGGTGCCTGGGTGGCTCAGTCAGTTAAGCGTTTGACTCTTCATCATTTCAGATCAGGTCATGATCTCAGGGTTGTGAGATCAAACTCTGCTTCAGGCTCTCACTGGGCATGAAGCCCAGGAGATTGAGCCCCTCGTAGGGCTCCATGCTGGGTGTGGAGCCTGCTTAAGATTCTCTCTTTTCAGGGTGCCTGGGTGGCTCAGTGGGTTAAGCCTCTGCCTTTGGCTCAGGTCATGATCTCAGGGTCCTGGGATCGAGCCCCGCATCAGGCTCTCTGCTCAGCGGAGAGCCTGCTTCCCTTCCTCTCTCTCTCTGCCTGCCTCTCTGATACTTGTGATCTCTGTCAAATAAATAAATAAAATCTTTAAAAAAAAAAAAAAAAAGATTCTCTCTCTTCTCCCATTGCACCTTCCTGCTCCTCTCTCCCTCCCTCCCTCTCTCTCTCTCTCTCTCTCTCTCTCACACACACACACACACACACACACACACACACACACAATAGTAGGGAGGAAGGCAGTTTATTCAACTCTGGATTACCACTGACTAAATAATGTTCACATCTACTACATACTTCCAGTAACATTTGTAAGAAAGAATTTACACACAAACTTCTAAAACCCTTTTTACATTCATTGATTAGGCAGGCAATGCCATTATTTCATGACCAAAAAAAATTAACAAATTTTAGAGATTGTGTTTGAACAAGCAACTTTTAACTCATGATGAAGGGTTTTTTTTTTTTTTTTAAGATTTTATTTATTTACTTGAGAGAGAGTGAGTGAGAGAGAGTACCAGCAGTGGGAAGGGGTAAGGGAGCGAAAGAAGCAGACTCCCTGTTAAGCAGGGAGTCCAAAGCAGGGCTCCATCCCAGGACCCTGGGATCATGACCTGAGCCGAAAGCAGATGCTCAATCAGCTGAGCCACCCAGGCACGCATGATGAAGGCATTTCATCTGCTCATTCATCACATCCTCATTTTTTTTTCACCATGTAGCTATTTTTTACTTACTTACTTACTTATTTACTTATTTATTAACATATAATGTATTATTTGCTTCAGCGGTACAGGTCTGTGAATCATTTGTCTTCATAATTCACGGCACTCACACCTCATTTATAATAATAAGGAAATAATATTAAGTCTTGTATTTTAATATCTTTTAGTTAGAAACTAATTCTATAAGCACCAACTAAATTCTTCCACATTAACTGCTTTATACCCTTTATATTGGAAAACTTCAGAGTTCCTCTATGTTTGAACTATGGAGAATTAACTCATTCTTCTGGAGAATTTTATTACACATACTAATTTAAAAAAACAAAAAATTAACATAATGTTGATAAAACTAAATATATGGTTAGCAGAAGAAATGATAATTAGACAATGAGTTTTCAAAAAATGTGTATTATAAACCAATTAAGCAAAACTTCTTAACATTACATTTTAAAGCACGTGGAAAACTTTAAAGCATGTGGAAACGAAACTAACTACAAAATAAGTAACATACTTACAATCTGTTGCCATGCGGAATTGAGAAGAAAGTGCCTGAGTAACAGAATTCCAAAAAGTGTACAAAATTTCAGCTTGTCCATCCTGTGACCCAAAAAAGGAATGTATTCATTAATTATTAAAAACTGTAATGGCTAAGAAGATATAACATTAAAAATTTAATAAAAATGTACTTAAATGAAATCTTCTAAGACATCTATCAAACAATGGAATTAAATAACTAAAGAGAAATATATAGATGACTCAAATTATGCTTCATGTTCTCATGTCCAAGTAATCAGTCATCACCCTCTGCTACTTACTAGTTGTGTGAGCTTTGGGCAAGTTGTTGAATCATTCTGAGCCTCCTTCCATCTCTAAAACGGTGATGGTATCAGTATTTCATTGCAGTATTGTTTCATTGCAGTGTTATTATAAGGATTAAAAAGTTTATAAAAAGTAGTGTTGGGATAGTCCCTGACACATAATAAGCCCACAGTGAATTTAGTTATTACTATTATAATTTCTTCCTTACATATACAGAAGGTAATTGTGTGACCATAACAAAATGATGAACACAGCAAGCTTAGACCAGAATGATCACCAGAGTATAATTCACCAATTACAAAAGAGAACTGCTTAAAGTATAAATACAGTTAAAAGTATTTTTTTAAGATGTATTTATGTATTGAGAGAAAGAACAAGTGGGGGAAGAGCAGAGGCAGAGAATCTTTCAACCAGACCCCCTTCTGAGTGAGGAGCCTGACTCCAGCTGGATCCTACAACCCATGAGGGCATGACCTGAGCTGAAACCGACAGTCAGATGCTTAACCAACTAAGTCACCCAGGCGTCCCCTATTAACAAATTTTAAAAAGTCACAGGAATTACTACTTTTCAGCACAATGTTTCATCCAACTTTGAATAAATGTTTTAGAAAGCAATCACTAAAAAGAAGAGAGTTTCATTTGTTTCATTTGTTAAAACAGACAAAATAATACTGTTAAACCTGAATCACACTTCTAGAAATTTTTCCAAGTACTTTTAAGGCATTTCTACATGTGTGGTACACAGTATCAAACTGCCAATATTCTACTTTTGAAGTATGAATATGACAATTCATATGTTTAGCCCCAATAACAATAAAATACACCTAATATTCAAATATGTGATGGATATGAGAAAACTCTAATTCTGTTTTATTTTGGACTTGTAACAAATAAAATTCCAATTTTTAAGGTTATAAAAGAAAAACTGACCAATGAAAAGTACTGATTTTTCACTTGTATACCTATGCATACATACTTCTGTTTTCATTGTTTCTTTAATAAATTTTTTGCTTTGAATCCAACTGAGTATTGTATACTCTAAAAAAGGCAAATCAAGTAATTGTTCATTTGCTACGCAGTGATCAGAAAATAGATTCAGAGACCTAAGATTTTTTTTTTTTAAAGATTTTATTTATTCATTTGACAGATAGAGATCACAAGTAGGCAGAGAGGCAGGCAGAGAGAGAGGAAGAGAAGCAGGCTTCCTGCTAAGCAGAGAGCCCGATGTGGGGCTCGATCCCAGGACTCTGGGATCATGACCTGAGACAAAGACAGAGGCTTTAACCTACTAAGCGACCCAGGCGCCCCCAGCGTCCTAAGATTTTATGTGATATGTATATTGCATATCATGAACCTTAAAGGAAGTGTCTTCATACTAAAAAACTTTTAAATATACCACACATTAACAGAATGAAGGACAGAAAGAACAGGATCATCTCAACTGATGCACACTGAAGCATCTGACAAAATTCAACACTCTTTCATGATAGAATCACTCAAAAAGCTGGGAACAGAAATTACCTCAACATGATAAAGGTCACATATGAGAAGTCCAGCAAGAATAGCAAAATGGTGAAAAACTGAAAGCTTTTCCTCTAGATAAAGAAAATCTGATGACTATATAACTAATTCTACACACACATATATACATGTGGGGAAGAAAACTTGGGTCAACATTGCTTAAGAATCCAAGTACAAAATTCTCAGATATGAAAGAGCAAATTGATTTCAACAGGTATTAAAATAATTATTTGAATAATCTAAACAAGTAGGATTTACGCCCCCAATGTAAATATTATTTAGTATTAGGAAATCTATTAATAACTTAATGTCTCAAATAAGGAAATCCTCAGACTAACTTAGCTGAGTGAATTCAAGGCAATTAATACTCTTGAACTTAATAAAATACTTAATACACAATCATTTTTTTAAATATTCATAGAAAATAATCCATAAAATGGTAGTAAAAACCCACAAAATTTAGAGGTGCCTGGCTGGCTCAGTTGGTAGAACATGTGACTCTTGATCTCTGGGTTGTTGAATTTCAAGCCCCATGTTGGGTCTAGAGATTACTTCAAAAAATAAAATCTTAAAAAAATACAGTACTTTCTATCTTATCTATTTTTAAGTGTACAGTAGTGTTAACTATATGTATCTTATTGTACAACAGACCTCTAGAACTTTTTCATCTTGCAAAACTGAAATGTGATACCTACTGAACTCCTCTTTCTCCCCCTCAGCTCCTACCAACCACCTATCCTGCCTACTTTCACTTTCTAAGAGTTTACCTACCTTAGTATACCTCATGTAAGTGGAACCATATCTTTTTGAATGGTTTATGTTTCACAATGTCCTTAAGTTTCATCCATGTTGTAGCATGTGACAGGATTTCCTTTTTTTTTTTTTTAAAGATTTTTTAAAATTTTTTTTATTTATTTGACAGAGAGAGGGAGATCACAAGTAGGCAGTGAGGCAGGCAGAGAGAGAAGGGGAAGCAGGCTCCCTGCTGAGCAGAGAGCCCGATGTGGGACTTGATCCCAGGACCCTGAGATCATGACCTGAGCCGAAGGCAGAGGCTTAACCCACTGAGCCACTCAGGCGCCCCGGATTTCCTTCTTTCTTAAGGCTATATTCACGTGTGTGTGTGTGTGGGGGGGGATATTCTCTTTATCCATTCATCCATCAACGGACACTAGGACTGTGTCTCTGCCTTGGCTATTATGAATAATGGTGCAATGAACATGGGTGGGCAGATACTGCTTCCGGATACTGCTTTCAATTCTTTTGGATATATATCTCCAGAAGTGAGATTGCTGCATCATATGGTAATTCTATTTTTAAATTTTTGAGGAACTTTTCATACTATTTCTCAGCCAGTTGTACCATTTTATATTCTCATCAACAGTGCACAAGGGTACCAAAGTCTCCATATCCTCACCAATACACTGTTCTTTGATGAATGCAAAGAATTCTCATTATTTTATTTTGCATTTTTTTATTTTGCATTTCATTATTTTAATTTGCATTTCCTGATGACTAGTGATGCTGAGCATCTTTTCATATGCTCTTAATTACTTCTATGCCTTATATGCCTTCTATAGAGAAATGTCTATTCAAGTCCTATTTACACATTTTTTTTAATACAGTTTTTTTTGCTGTTGTCATTGAGTTGTGGGAATTCTTTATATATTCTGGACACCAATCCCTTATCTGATATATGACTTACAAGTATTTTCTCCCATTTTGTATGTTGCATTTTCATTCCTCTGTCACAGAGAAGTTCTGAAGTTTGATGTAGTCCCATTGGCCTAGTTCTGCTTTTGTTGCCTGTGATTTTGATGTCTTATGCACGAAATCGCTACCAAGTCCAATCTCATGAAGTTTTTGCCCTATGTTTTCTTTCGGGAGTTTTATAATTTTAGGTTTTACATTTAGGACTTTAATTCATTTTGAATTAATTTTTGTATATGGTATAAGAGAAGGGTACCTTTTTTTTTTTTTAACAAGGATTTCCAGTTTTTCACAGCACCATTTGTTGAAGAGACTAGTGACAGATAATTTGTGTGACCCTCCTTATTCTATGTACCATTATTTGTTGTTTTATCTGAAGTTAATACTATCATTATTGCTTTCACTTGAGAAATGTTTGTCACTCCATTTATTCTTATTCCATATTGTTTGCTTTTGATGTGGTGCTTATAAATATTTTTATTTTTAAATATAATTTTTTGTCTTTTAGTAAGAAATTACAAACCAAATATGTTTACTTAATAGTTGTTCTTGCTTTTATCATTTCATTTTATGCTTTCTTTGTATTTCCTTTGTTTTCTCTGTTTGTTCTGTGGATTATTTTCATTTGCTTTTATCTCCCCCAGAGGTTTTTTTTCTTGTATTTCTTTCAGATGTGTCATTATTCCTACAATTAACCATAAATTCCTTTGAGGTAAATCATCTTTTGTAATTCTACAGAACTACTGAAACAGATTTCTAGAAATAGCAAAAGAAAAAAAAAGTGAGGGGAGATGTAAACAAATGCTGGCATGATAGAAATGAAATCACTGTCTTAAAGGGATCCCTGCACTCCCACATTCACTGTAGCATTTTTCACAATAGCCAAGACATGGGAATAACCTAAGTGTCCATTTACAGATGAAGGGATAAAGAAAATGTGGCATTTGTATAGATATATACAATGGGATACTAATCAGCTGTAACAAAGAAGGAAATCCTGCTATTTGGACAAGATGGATGGACCTCTAGGGCATTATGCTAAATGAAATAAGTCAAACAAAGAAACAAAACTACCATATGATCTCACTTCCATGTGGATTCTGAAAAAGTCAAACTCAAAGAAAAACAGAGCAGAATAGTGGTTATCAAAGTTTGGGGTAGGGTGATGTTGGTCAAAGGCTGCAACCTCAGTTATAAGATGAATAAGCTGTGGGGATCAAGTGTACAGCACAGTGAGAATCATTAACATTACTATGTTATATACGTGAAAGTTGCCAAGACAATAAATCTTAAATGTTTCCACCACACACACATATACAAAAAGGTAATTATGTGAAGTAATGGACACATTAACTAACTCTATTGTGTTAATCATTTCAATATAAATACATGTAAAAAATATCATCACATTATATAATTTAAACTTACACAATGTTATATGTCAATTTGTCTCAATAAAGCTGAGGGGGGGAAAAAAAGAAATTCTTCAAGGCTTTAGAGAATTGCCAAAATAAACAAGAAAATTCTAATTCCTTGACACACTCTTT